GACGTTGTAAAACAAGCCAATTCACTTCGTGAACTCGGCAACCAGGTTACCGTTTGGTTTTTTACCTCCGGTGTTTTTGTTTGGCGGTAACCATAATGGTGGTCGAGTAGATCATGTTGTGCGGGGTGGAGAACCCTCACTCCGCGCAAGGGGGATGATCGCACCACGTTGTGTTAAAATGGTCAAGCACCCTCGAGGCAGTTACACAGTGCTTACAACTGTCTCTGGAAGTGAAAGCACCAGAAAATAAATTAATTCATACGCAGCTGTCATCCGTACGCAAGGAAGTAAGCACAAGATGCCGAACACCCTTAGCAGGATGCAGCGCACCCTTCATGCGACTCGCCGAATATCTCACGGCGCTTCGCGCTTGGTGATGTGAGAGCCTGGTCCGGTGAGAACCCGGCGTGCTCCGTCCCGGCTTTGTAGGGATGCGAGGTCAATGGTCTAACGACTACGGCATGCACGACTATGAGTACACCCCCCTCCCTACCGCAACCGTTGCCTGTACGTCGTGATCCGACCAGGGAGATGCACGAAAGACATGGGCATCGAACACAGTAGTTCTAGCTCCACATCGATGTCAGATTTGTGTCGAGGGGATTAGTATGTGTTGAGAAACTGCGAAATAATGCGGTGTAATTGTGTTTTGGCAGGAGAGGTCAGGGTATGTAGGGATGACGAAATATTGTCGCGGGCGGCGGGTAGGTCGGATCGCGTTGAGAATTGGCATCCAGCTGTGCGGACAGTGTGAGCGTTGGCTGTCCGAGTTTCGTGGACGTTCGTAAGCAGGATGTGGAGTTATCGATGCGCCGAAAATTTCGTGTGCTGGGCTGTGCAGGGCAAATGGACCTGAAAATCAGCCGAAACGGTGTGCGTCGCCTTGTTCACTCCCCTCGTCACCGTACTTGCCGAGACTCACGGGGCATCCCTATTCTCTCCTAGCGCATCGAACCGTGTCTAGCACAGGGCTGTTCCTTGCTTGATTGCGGAGAAGATCGTGGGGAACAAATGCAACGGGTGACCCGAGAGGCGAATCTGCGCCTCTGGCTTGGGGGCATTTGGCAGCCACACTAAAATATATTGAACTGATTTTGATGGAGCAAAATGCTTGCGTATGGCGCCGGTGTCGCTTTGATTGAAATTCCTTCCATGGGGCCTTCGAGACGTAGTAAGCGCGAAGGCACCGCCGCGATCTCGCGCTCGTGCCTTTCTCAAGCCGAAAGAAATCGGCCGCGGTAACAAAAAACCGCGATAAAAATACTGATGCCGCGGAATCAATGTTTATTTTTTTTTCCGTAGCTGAAACCAATACTAAACGGATTGGAACAAAATGCATATCTGCGTACGTATCCAAGCCGGAGCTGGAAGATCGACCAAAAAAAGGTATGTTGGCGTGTGTATTGTTGTTGCTGTTGTCGTTACATTAATGCACCGAGAAAAATACTGCTTGAGTGCAGAGTATCGACACAGTTGAGACACACACAAGCACAAAAAAAAAAAAAACAGTGCGTGCGCACACAGATACGCTCGAGCTGTATAAAGCACGGCCGACACTTTATGAGCAAAGTAGATGCAGATGTGCCTGAAGGACGACCTCAAGATGTTCGAAGAGCACGGATCTACGGACACCGAGCCATGCTTCTTCGGAATCCCGGAAACAACTTGCATGGAAGCAGCGAAGGTGGACCGCGGGGTACCGTGTCATACAGGGGTGCTACAAGGACCTAGGAGGTTCATGGCCTCCTGGCACAAGAAGGAAGAGGAGGCTAGCCGACAACGAGCGCTCAAACGAAACAAGAAGCCCGGCAACAACACGGACACGGCAACAACTACGGGGGCGGGAGGGGTACAGCAGGCGGACGAGACGGCGAGAAAAGACAGGAAACGCGAAAAAGCGGACCGAGTGGGGCGAAACACTATGCTGAATGGAACCCCTTGCTTGACTTATCCCCATCCCCCCCCGGCACTGCAGCAATGCACCAACCCCCCGCGAGCGATGACGTGCATTTGCTGGCTCGGGTGGCCCGTTTTGTGTTGTGCTGTTTTGTCTTGTCTTGTGTTGTTCTGTGTGTTTGTTTGTTGTCTGTCGCTACGGCGTGTGTCTCTCTCTGCCTGTGTCTTTCTCCTTCTCTTTCCCTTCTCTCCATCTGTTATCTGCTGTTTCTTTTTCGTTTTTCTCTTTTACTATTTTCTTTCTTTTTCCAATCTAGAGTTACCTCGCATAGCGTGCAGAGGCGAGCGGAGCGGCCTAGACTATCTGTCGTTTACTTTTATTGGCTTGCGGACCCTTCGGGTCCATTGTATTTTGCGTATCGATAATCGATATTGGTATCATGTCTAGAGTGATACACGGTAAAGGAGGAAGGTACAGATTTGTATGATTCGGGTACATGTCTCACCGGGGGGCCGTTATCATATCGCGATGAACTCTGTACACAGTAGGGGTGACTCTTATCTCCAAATTGTTTTGGGATGTGCCACCAGTTTTTTTTGCATGTGTAAGGTTTCTAACGATTCTTGGACAACAGCGACAGCACCGCTTCTTGGGCACTACATATATCGTGTACCCGATGCTGGAAATTGCTTGCTAACGTGACCTCGTAGGAACAAATATATTTTGGCTTTTAGTCCCTTTTCGTGTCGGCTGAGAAACGGAAAAACAAACTGTAACGAAAAGTGATGTGTGCGTGCCACAGCCTGAGCCCGTTGGTGTGCGTTGAACAGACACGAAAAACAGAAGGTGGTTATACAGCAACCAACAGCGGTTTTGCCTGGCACTCCTCTGTCTCTGTCTCTCTCCCTCTCCCGCTATCTCTCTCACTGTCTTTCTGCTCTCCATATTTCCTACCTCATACTCCCTCTCCTCTGTCTCAATATAAATTGCCCTGTTGGAGCAGGGCTGTGTCCAATCCTAGGTCTGTCGCACCCGGGCTGTCTCCAATGAACCACTGTCCTTTGAACGTGGGTGCGTGGTGGTTGGTTACGACGAACAAACGACGCGAAACCAAACGGCAGGAAGACTTGCGTTGCGCAAACAGTCGGCGCGCGTTTTTTTTATGGCCGAAGGCTTTTGCCGAACTGCAGTACTGCGACATTTGCCGCGACTTGATAGTGGTGGTCACCGTGCTTCTCAACACTTTACACACCCACCCACCCACTTGATTATCTACTGCAGCGTCGGCTATTGCCTATATCTCAACTATCGGCTCTCGAATGCATGTACGTAGTCTTGGTACGCATGTTGAACGACGGCTTCAAGAGACAAAGACAATAATACTGCTGCTGAAAAATGATCCAGAGGGAGATCAGGGATGATTGGAGCACAGCGTGTTTATATGAAGAAGAGAGAGGCGGTGCTGAAATGAGATGCATGCGTGCTTTCTCAGTGCAACTTGGGGTATCTTGAGCTGTTTCCCCCCAAAAACACACAAACAAATGTAGACTATCGTTATGCTATTGCTGTCCTGAAAAAACGGTAGTGTGCACGTCCTCTCCAGTCAAGTCTACTACTGCTAGGGCCGGATTCCACCAAGCACTCCACCAGCACGCCCGACACGTATTGTACGAAGGACACGCACCGAGGACTGCCGCGTAATCACAATACGGTCGGTTATGGACAGCTGGCGGGCAACAACGTGAGATGTGCATAGATGTGTTGTCCTGCCTAGCCAAGTAATAGCAACATCAATATCCTGCTGCTAACAAGTTCTTTGTGTCCCAAGTGCTGAGACTGGAGACAGGTGCAGACACGCACGCGACACTGACAAAAAAACGGGAGTGTGCCGCACACAGGTACGCTAATGCCGTATGGAGCACGGCGGACACAAAAATTATTACCTTACCTTGCCGTTGAACGGAACGAAAGCCACGAAATGGAACGCGTCTTGGTTCTCGCCCCCATCGTCCTTTCCGTCAGTCACAAAAGGTTCTTGACTCGAAAATCCGTTGTGCACCGACCGGATGGTCTCACTATTGCTGATCGCCAAACCCTGCGCAGATAGAACCAATGCCGCCGGACCGTTGAGCGGAATGCCACAATACATACGTTAGGGGAACAATACGCTACAAATCCCACGCATCCGGAAGCCTGGCACAGATCTGCCACGCTACGCATATCGTAACGTGCACAGTTACTGTAAGCATTCACAACCAGCACATAGCGAAACCGAAAACCGCAGAAGACATGCAACGCACCTTCATTTCCGGTGGAAAGTCTCGTGTGAAAGTCATGAAGTCCGACAGCGTCTCGCCAATGTCGATCTGGCCAAATATGAACAAGGTAGCCATTGGCCGATGAGTGACGCCGAGATAATCCAGAAGCCATACGCCGCAAACTGTGGGAAAGCCTGTGAACTAAGTTTTCAATCACCTACACAGTACTAGTTACACAGACCCACGAGCCATATCTCCTTGATCATCCAACTCCAACACTACCGATCTCTTCCTCTCGCGCTCCGCATTAGTCCTGGTGTCTCTCGCCCTTCAGCCAATGCCTGTCTCTTTAACCTCCCTGCCTTGCGTTTAATTTCCGACCTTCACCTCATCCATTCGCTTCAACAATATCAAAATGAGTAAACACGTTTGTGCCCTAGTGCAACCACGCTCTTCCATTGGGGGTCTGGGGAGGGGAGCTGCACCCGAACACTGACTCAGCATACATGGCTACTGACTGAGCAGTGACTCAGCACTGCCGGTGTTGCAGCAACACAAGACGCACTGTTACTGTTACCCCGCATGCACTGCTGTGCGATTGTGAGGTCATCGACACCACAAGGAGACGACCTCTGTCAAAACCGAACTAACAGCAAACGAGCGGTCGCTGTAGCGAGTGAACATCAAAGTCATAGAAAAACACGAACAAACACACGTAGAGACACACAAGTGCCGTCGCACCCACCCGAACGAGTGCACCCATGCACGTGTCTCGCTGCATCTCTGCATGCGCGCCACGTCAACGACGTGCGGTCACGTTACACCGTAAGCAGCAAGAAACCCCTACGCCTGTGTTTACACATTCTTCGTCGGGGGGGGGGGGCAATCCAGGCGTGTATCTCACTTCGTTAAGCCCTGGGAGGCGGGAGGTACGCCCCTGGCAAAAAAAAAAGGTTCAAGACTAACTTATCCAAACAGTCGGCCCGGAGCCGACCACTCTTTTCCTGCCGTTGGGCTGCTGCCGCCATCACCGTGGCTCATGGAGAGTCGCCTTCAGACAGAAAGACGAAGACAACACGAGAAAAATATGCTCTCCGTGGTCACATGCGCCTTGAGACAAAGCGTTCATCGGTGTTTGTAGTTTCAACAAATACACTCCTATCCCGAGAAATTCGCACATGTGGGCAGGCGAAAGTTTTGGAATTATCGTCGTGGATGGACCATATGTCGCAACAAATATCCTCAAGAACTTGCCGGAGAGCACAACGAGCATTTTGCAAAGCAAGGTCCGCCTGCCGGGCGACCAAGAGGCAGGGGACAACCTTTGTCGGCATCTACACAGCAGTGGACGTTGACCAAGTAGACCAATGTCAGCGAGAGACACGGGTAGGGTAATTGCGCGTTTGGAACGGGCTGACATTTTGGAATGGTCAACGGCAAAACGACGCCGACGGTGGCAAGATCCACCCCACAGCGCACGCACCCATCCTACCTTGTCTGCGCAGTTGAGAAGTACACTGAGTATCGCTTGGGTAGCGCATGCGTTTTGGACAACCTGCCAACGACACAAGTGCGGGGACAATACCGTACCATTTTCTTTAGCTCGTGAGATTCTGGACAGCAGTATTAACGAACTGGCACAGCCTTCCTCCCAGCAACAAAAGTCATTCGGCAAATTCAACGCTTCTCTGCACTGCAACAGCGATCGCATGTCGGTGGATGAATGCAAAGTCATTGACGTTTCCGCTTTAGTTGCTCAAAACGCGTTGGGAAATAGGAATGCATCTCACGCTCGGCATAACACAAGCAAAGCGAATGACCTCAACACGCAAGCAATAATTTCATTTCGGGGCCAAGAAACTGTGCGATACTCGTGAAGTCAAACACGTGACTAAACACCGGTACACATGAGCTAACGATTCACCTGACGTGCAAAAAAAAGACCAGGCTCGTTTTGTGGTTCGGTGGTGTGTCGCTCGTCATCTCCCGTCCATTTAAACAGGAACACAAGGCCATACACCGGTCGAACATCCTTGAAGTTGGACTCATCGAGGCTGTACAGCTCCTCAACCTGCACCAATTACAATATCTAGAAACATCACCAACAATGATCGCCGATGTTTCCTTCCATGCGGTCATCGACTGCTATTCACTGTCATGATGGGACTGCAAAAGAGAGCTACCTCATTCCTCGGATCGAATTCAGTTGAGATATGCATATGTATCATATGCGCTTTTTGATACAATTGCTTCTCAGGGGCACGTAGGAGACCCGTCGGTGCACTGCCACGCACGCCCGAGGACCAACAGGCACCCGTGGTGCGTGTGTTTAGCGCCCAGAGTTGAAAAACTGGCTCTATGCCGCGGGGACCTGTTCCGAACGAAGAAAGCCTCAGCAAGACATGATCAAAAAAGTGCTTGAAAAAGAAAACTTGTGATTCCTGCGCAACGCGCACAAGTCCCACAGACCATGGGCAACAAGGTACGAATACACAAGAGTGACTACAGCAGCAGTAGGACCTGCAGCAAAGACGCCGCTGAAGCACACACGCCCACGTGAGAAACAAAATACTCCGTACACGCACCACGGGTGAGAAACAAAATACTCCGTGCACGGGGCAAACTCCAGGCAAATTCTGCGAAAGCCGGCACTACAGAAAGTTGGAACATCACAGAAGGGTCATCTCACGTGAGCAGTCCCGAGAAAATAGGCGTGTGAGGGCAAGGAATCTATTAATGAAGCATTTGAATGTTCTCGCAGACGCACGTGGAAGGAGAGACAGAGACAGAAAAAAAAAACGCTCTCTCCATAAATATCATCAGTGCGTAAAACATACAATCATCGGTCCCAATATAGAGGACATGAATGAGAAACCAGGGGAACAAAAAAGGGTAGGGGGGGGGATGACAGTTGAGCTGGGGTTGACATCCCTGACGGTTGTACCCGCCCGACGTTCTCATGAAACCCGCGAAATTGTTGGAAGCGGTAAGTCGATTGGGGTGGGAACGGAAATTCCGAAAAACACAACGGGAAAATTACTGCGAAGAAATTACGAAGGACAGCCGTGACGACAATTATGTACAGTAGTTCGCAACGAAAAGTCACGCACGCACCTACGTGCATGTGCTGCACAGTCAAAAGTCCAGACTTCGATGAAATGCATTAATTTATTAATTTTGGTGTTCCTGCTACCATCAGCAAATTTGCCCAGTCCGCAGCATTCCGCGTGTGCACAAGCATGGATATGATTGATAACAATCACCACACAGACTTCATCATATGCATACACATGGTTGACTGCGAACTACAGCAGCAGTATATCGCTCAATAGCCGGCAACATATTGCTTCGGCAAAATAATGTTTTGCAGAGATATCCACAGGTTCGCGGCATTCGCGCTAGTTCGCACATGCATGTTTGATAATGGTCACGCGGGGACTTCATTGTACGCATAGTTGACTCCGAACTATACCGGGATCCTCTGTGTGTATTTTTTTGTGCGTGTTCGTGAGAGCGTCAAAACAAAATAAATGAAAAACCGGCGCGCGCGAGTGATTACACCGCCCGGACGGGTGATTATGTAGCATTGTCAGGGATGATTGTACATTCCTTACTCACTTGCGCGTGGCAACTACGAACTACAGCAGATCTATCTGGCGCGCGGGGTTGGATAATTCGTTGCACACATGGTGACCAAGTAGACTCCATTACAGTGGGGGGCCCGGTTTAGCGACGCGTTGTTTAGCGACAGCCCTGGTTAGCGACCCCACAATCTCGAGACACCGCTACGCCCCGATTTAGCGACCAAATGGTCGCTAAACTGGTCGACCCCACAATAACTACTTTTTGAGCTGTTTTCGGCGAGCAATAGCGACCATCGGGAGACGTTGGCAGTGCGGGGGGAGGGGAAGTGATGGCGCCGCCGCCCTACTCGGAGCTTCCGTCGCATTTTGGAATCGCTAGAAGAGTGCGCGGGGTCGTGTGGGTTGAGCGAGGCAGCGTACCATCTTCCCAACGGAAAGATGCTGTTCATCGAAGCACTGCGAAACCAGTGCGACAGACAGATATCAGAGGTATGTTTAGTTCAGATTGGTACACGCGACAGTAGCAGGATGAAGCCACTAGCACCACGAGGTTCTTTGCCGCTTGGGCGTTCACGAACTTTCTCCGTGCCACATAGCGGCGTCCAGGCACCGAATAGTAGTCCTCTCGCATACACATGTGAAAGCGACAGAGAGAGAAAAATACTGCTCGTACAGATTCATGGGAGGACCCGATTCCCAAGGTATCCTTGACGTTTACCAGAATTGGTACACCTTCGCATTCGGTGTCATCTGCGACACGGATGGGTTCGATGTCCTTGAGTGCACATTTTCTCCTGGCTTCGACATGTTCTCATCGACACAAATGTGTGTCAGTCCTGAGAGCACCTGTTGGAATCGATCTTCAAAAGACTGTGACACCTCTATCGAAGTACCCATCCTGGCCCCAATTGGTTCCCAGTTGAGGGCACATTCTGTTGGTGGAGAGTGTTGAAGGAACTGACGGTTAAGGTATCCGTCGATTGACATTCACCAGAATCGGTACACCTTCCTCGTGATCATCAGTGTGTACAACACATCGATCAGTGTGCTTAGCGGACACTAATGAGTGGTGAGAGGACGAGTAAAACAGGAAGAGAAAAAATGGCATTTGAGCTCGAGTTCGAACCCCGGGCGGTACTCACCCTACGTTTGCGTGCCACCGCCATAAAAGTTGGAAGCGATTTGGGGGTTGAATGGTAAGGCCAAAGACTGGGAGAAGGGCAATATATTCGGATTTACCGCGGGAAAAATACTGCGAAGAAACTCTCAAAGACAGCCGTGATGAAAATGAGCATAAGGCACGCACACCCGTTCGTGTGTTGCAGTCCATGTGGGAGCGGGAGACTAGAAAATAGAAGATGTCCGGCCAGCCCTTGAGCCCTTGCCCAAGCTAGGATTGTTACCCTGCTTCTCTCGGAGGCCAAAGACCCAGTAAAAAGGTGAATGAACTCAAAACCTGAATGTGCAATATCAGGATTTGATATCTTCGATACTTAAGACCCAACCAACCGGATCCCACATTCATGCGCCATCATCGCCCTCCGACCAGGCCAGGTGTTGTGTGTGGTGTACCCTGTGTCGCACCACCACCAGTCAGAACACCGAATGACTATCCACGCGCGTGCAACTTCTGTCACGTGTAGGCCCTGCCCTGTCTCCCTGGCACGTCGAGGTACCACTTTTACCCCCCCCCCCGCGGTGTTTGCCATCGGGGTTGGGTTTTCGTCGCTTGGCAACGAAGTTGTAAAACAAGCCCCCCCATCGGTGTTTGCCATCGGGGTTGGGTTTTCGTCGCTTGGCAATGACGATGTAAAACAAGCCAATTCACTTCGTGAACTCGGCAACCAGGTTACCGTTTTTTTTTTCCTCTTTTTCTTGGCGGTAACCATGACTGGTGGTCGAGTAGATCATGTTGTGCGGGGTGGAGAACCCTCACTCCGCGCAAGGGGGATGATCGCACCACGTTGTGTTAAAATGGTCAAGCACCCTCGAGGCAGTTACACAGTGCTTACAACTGTCTCTGGAAGTGAAAGCACCAGAAAATAAATTAATTCATACGCAGCTGTCATCCGTACGCAAGGAAGTAAGCACAAGATGCCGAACACCCTTAGCAGGATGCAGCGCACCCTTCATGCGACTCGCCGAATATCTCACGGCGCTTCGCGCTTGGTGATGTGAGAGCCTGGTCCGGTGAGAACCCGGCGTGCTCCGTCCCGGCTTTGTAGGGATGCGAGGTCAATGGTCTAACGACTACGGCATGGACGACAATGAGTATCAGTACACCCCCTGTTTGAAAATACAGCCCGCCTTTCCGCAATTGGCGTGTGCACGCATTGTTGATAGTAGTCTACTTGGTCACCAACCTGCTTGAAACGAAGTCGCAGTCAACCCCGCGCGCAAGATGTATTGCTGCAATAGTAGTTGCCACGCGCAAGGAAGGCATGCACAAACAATCTTCGAAGTTGACCCAATCCATGACTATGCGACATGATCACCCGTCCGGTGTGTTGTTGATGTTTCTCTCCCATCATTTGGACTCTGCCGTCTGCCCCTCTGGCCCTTGTCCTCCACTTCTACCAGCCAGCACCCAACCGGGGCCACATAGGAGGGGGGGGTTTGACCCCCTACAGCGGTTCCTGCCTGAGATATTTTTATCGCGAGAATGGTTCAGCAATCCCTTCCCTCGCGACTTATGAAGTCGGTGTGTGTGGTATACTCACTCGCGTGGGCCAGTTTCTCACCTTTCTTTACTTTCTCACAAATACACACACAAGGGGTTCCGGTATAGTTCGCAGTAAACCATGTGTACAATAAACTCCGGGTGACAATTATCAACCATGCAAATGTTTGTCGCTACGGTAGTGGCTCTGGCGTGTGTCTTCCTCTCTCTGTCTTTCTTTTCTCCCTTCGCTTTCATTTTGTTCTTCTTTCTTTTTTCCAGTCTATGGTTACCTAGCATGGCGTGTAGAGGCGAGCGGAGTGTCCTGGACACTCTTTCGATTTCTATGGACCCTTCGGGTCCATTTTATTTTGGTATACTACATTTTTGGGAAAGTAAGGCTTTGACCACGCGAATCGAACGTGTCAAGTGTTGGCCTATTGCGGACAAAAAAGGGTAGTGTGTAGAGAGAACGGCATGGTTTTTCAATGTGACGACAACAACAACATATATACACAAGAAATACTGTTAGCCCTGCGCCTGACCTGTTTTTGAGCCCAAATTCTGTCACGCAGAGGTTCGTTCGAATGGACTTTTTTCTTTCTTTTTTCGTTGCCAAGTCAATCAAAGCCGACAAATTTTGATAGCGGCGTCCATTTCCAGGGCGAACAGACTGAACACGTGCTGCGATGGCTTGTATTTTTTGAAATTTTTTGAGCGGGCGTGGATGCGCGCGAACAACAACACATACACGGACAACACACGGCGGTGGGGTTGATGCGTGTGCTCCCTCGTGATCAAACTAGACCTGCGACCACCTCACTGCTGACCGGCGCCACAAATCATGGCCCCGAGTGGCAGGTTAGGAGCGTGATCGACGATGTTGTGTCGGAGTCGGATCCTGAGAGTGGTCTGTCCGACGAGCTGAGCGGGGAGGATGACGATGAGATGTGATAAAGAATCCGCGCTGGATGAAGGCAGATGTATTTTAATCAACACGAAAAAAAAACACGTCGTTTGGAACAACGCAACACCACCCAAAAGGCACTGCCCCCGCTCGCGACATTTCCTCCCCTGCACGAGGTCGAAGAGGTATTGCGCAGCATGTGTATAAGCCAGAGGTACTGATGGCGCAGTAACGATAGAAAGAGCTGCAGTGCCGCCGGCGGTACAGCCTTTGCGCCGTGACACAAATGTAGGCGATGACGAAAGAAACGCCGACGTTGATGGATAATGGCGGGCATACTGTTTTACTCAACACGAAAAAAAAAAGTTGATTTGACCCAACACATTAAAAAGAAACCGCCCACGCTTGCAACCTTTCCTCGCCTTCCTGAGGCCGACGAGGTACTGCGCAGCAAGTACGTAAGGTAGAGCTACTAATGGCGCAGCAACGACAGAAAGAGCTGTAGTAGCGCCGGCGGTACAGCCTTTGTGCCGTGGCACAAAAATCATTTCACCGAAAAAATGCAGCAGCAGCAGCAGCAGCAGCAGCAGCAGCAGCAGCAAGAAAAACACACGCACAAAAAAAACAAAAACTCTCGCACATCATCCCAGGTGCTCCGGCCACCACCGCGCTCGCTTTGCCTCCGCCCGCGCCCACGAACCTAAGACGACTGCCTACCACCCCGCCCCCTATCAGCTTGTGCTGCTACCTGGCGTAGCTCTCGCTGCTTGCTTGCTTCAACTTTTTCTGCTGCTGCTGCTTCTTTTTCTTCTGCCGCTAATCTCTCCGCCTTTCTCTTTGCCGCGTTCGCCTTGTTCTTTTGTACGCGGGCGGCGTCAGCTTTCGCCGTTGCGGCGTCGCGGCTCCGTGTCAACTCCTTGACGTCTGCCCTCCTCACCAGCCCGTCGAACCTTGCTTGCGACGCCCTGGCCCCCATCGTCATACCATGTTTTTCGACACATATCTCGTTTTTACTCGAGAACTTTTGCTTTCGTTTTTTCCTCGAGTCCGGCGATTTTTCTTCTCAGACGTACCCATGAGTACCCGATGAGTACCCGATCTGGGGATTCGTTTTGCGCGACGATGACGCAGTGGATTCTAGCGTGGCTTTTTGCGTCACCTTGCTGAGAAGAAGAGCTACGATTTCATCGGTGGCGATTTGCGTTGAAGTTGCTCACGTTCGTGGCAGCAGGCGAAAAGGACCGAAAATCACTTGTTTTTAGAGTGTTCGATGGGTTAGAACCCGCCGATTGAAAAATTGACCGATGAATCGATAGATGTGTCCTGTTCACAGATGTGTACTGAACCGCAAGAGCCAGCTCGTTTGTGGCATCGAGTATTTCGCGTTCTTCTCCCGCTCTTTAATATCAAGTCAAAACAAGATTTGGCGCCGGCGACCTGGAAAGCGGAAAAAATATATTTTCGTGGTTTTTCGACCAACAGATTTGCACAGGCCACTCAATTATTTCATGTCGTTTAATGTGCGAAGGGCACATTTTCTCATTATTGCCTCCTGATGACGTGGTCGCCGATAGAGGCGTGTAGTTGATGAGGTTTCATCACCGACATGTGGGTGGGTGGGTGTTAAATGCAGTGGGTATGTTCACCTCTCTCGTCCGTGTGTCCCCTTCTCAGTGCGCATCCTCTCGCAAATGAGGCAACTAGAAGCATGCAAACCGCTGATGCACTGCCTGCCCTTGTCACGCAGGTTCTCGAAAGAGCTGTGCAGGTTCTGCGTCCTTCGCGAATTGGATTGACTGGGAAACCTTCGTGGATTTTTTTGCAGTTAAGCACATAAGGGGATGCACGGTGAGGGTAATGCCGGCGACTTCCGACCAATTTGGTTCGGTGTTTCGGTTCGGTGTGACACCGAGGAGATCAACGAATACGACATATGGTCCGTCCGGGACAATTTTTCCATTCACGTTTTGTGCGATCACTTTCGTAAAAAAAAAAAGTAGGGACGTGAAACAACGATATTCGTGATCGCCTAGTCGAGCTACGTCGATAGCTGCAGATTTTTTTTAATTTAGAGAAAATGCAACATTTTTGGCCCAAATGATCCACGGACCCCCCTCATCTTACCATGGTACCCCCTAATCACACCACGGAACCCCCAACCATACCACGGAACCCCCTACTCATAGAACGAAACTCTCTAAACATACCACGAACCCCCCTAAACGAACCACAGAACCCCCTTATCATACCACGGAAACCCCCAGAGCTTTCTCGCTCTGCACCATTTGTAACTGCTTTGTGTATACTCATATGCATGTATGCATATGCATATGGTATGCATATCAAACAACACGTATCTTATTGCATTTGTTCAAACATTACACGGTGGTGCGATGCCGCTGCACCGCATGTGGAAGATGCGCCGCATTTGGATGCGGCGCAATCTCGGGAGGGAGCGCCACTGTGGAGCGAGCTGCTGCGGCCGCGACGGTGCCAGCAGCGGAAAGCAGTGCCGATCCAAATCGTAGCGTGGCCTGGCCTCCGCGTGAGGCACCACCAGAGTCCTCGCTGCGCCAGTCCTCGTC